TTAAAATAGGGACACCAGTGGGGGACAGTGACAAGTAAAACACATGGCCAATGGGGGTGATTATGATAGAGTTTCTGCCACAATGTGATGCTTAGATGCAGCTCTGAATCTTGTCACTAACGTGAGGCATCATCACACCGGCCAGGATGTGGTACCAGATATCTCTGACCAATCCTCCCGGCCCAGGATGGTGATTGGCTCACCCTCTCAGCCCTCTTGCCTTTTTTCTCTCCAGGGAGGTTTTAACTGTAACCTTGTAATGTGATCAGTGTGTGGGGATGGGGAAAGGTGAGGCTATATCCCCTTTACTTCTAGAACTTTCTTCCATGGCTCTTAGGAATATTAAGATAAGCTAAAATTGTGTGGAATCTAAAGGGGAAGAACAAGAGTGTCTCAACAAAGACCAATGGAGAATTCTGTGCTGACAATGGACTATTTATTAAATATCAGCTTTTTGACAGTGACAGTAGTAACTACATGTGAATGATGTTTGTTTTAAGAATCTTGAAGAAACACTGAGACTTCTTCTAAAGGTTAAAAACAGAAAGGTCCCTTATGCTCCCATTCCATAAACTCTGTTATGAATGAGGCTGTATGTTTCACATTTAATAAACAGTCTTTGGCGTGGAAGATTTCTTTTCTGGATCTTGTGGACTGAAGGCCAAAGTTTTTTTTTTTCTGTTCTAATTTACACCACTATTTATAGACTTATCATTTTCTATACTTAGAATACTTTCCAGAATGCAGAAAGAGGCCAAATGAAGTTGCTACAGGTCTTCTACTTTCTGGTTATTCACAAGAGGCAAAAAACCCTGACAATAAGACTAAGTCCCTGAAGTAATAATGGTCTTTGATCAGGCCACATCAGCTTGTCTCCTCCATTTGTCCATACAAGATCACTTCTTGGGTAGCCTACTTTAGGGTGCCAGATCGAATTACAGGACACACAGTTAAATTTGAATTTAAGATTTTAGAAAAATGGATAATTTTTTAGTATCGGTATATCCCAAGCTTCATATGGTCAGATATTAGTTGTTTGAAATCCAAATTTAACTGGGCATCTTGTGTTTTTATTTGCTAAAGTGGCAACCCTAACTCTTGTTGGGGATGGGTGTGCAGCATCACCCACAGTAGGGGCCACTAACACATCTGCTGTCTCCTTGGGCCTGTCCATCTCTGGTCACCCACCTCCCTCAACCCAGCTAGACTGCAAATGGGTATTGTTGCTGGAGTGAACAGCTCTCTCTCTTTACCTACCTTTCTGTATCTCAAATAGACTCCATGGCTATGTAAGGACATTCTTTCCTTCCCCTATAATAGAAGCTATTTTCCATCCATCCATCCATCCATCCATCCGTCCCATAGGTACTTACAGAACATCTTTTAAGTACCAGACATCAGGAAGCAAATCCATTATCTCCCTGGGAACATGTCATGTGGACGACTCATGTTCAGTCTTGAAGCCAGTTTCTTGGAAGTCCTCCAGAACATAGGAAATAGCTGTTACAATGAATAAAACATCTCTGATCCCAGCATTTCTGAGCTTGTCCAGCTGAGCCTATACATCTTGGGTGCCACTGGTTGCCTTGGAACTAGTCCTGACCTGTGACATTTGGTACAGGGAAGCTGAAAGCCAGACAGGACTGTGCTGTAAGGGAAGGCTACTTGTAACAAACAGAACTCACCGTGTATAGTCACTAGAAGTTTGTTTTTTTTTTTTTTTTTTTTTTTTTTTTTTTGTCCAAGTAATACTTCCAGGTAGGTATAAAGATTTGTGGGGCAACCCACCCTGCATATTCATTTGGGGACTTGGACTGTCAGAGGCTTTGCCATCTTCATCGGATCACTGGTCACTTCTAAGTTTGTCCAGGGCTCATCATCAGTCCAGCCAGGCATAAGAGGACTAGAGCCTGGAGGCGTGCATGGGAGATTTGACCAAGCCCATATCACCTTCTCTCAGATCCCTTGGATAGCTGCATGGCCACTCCTCTGCAAGGGAGGCCGGGCAGCGTGTGCCTGGGGAAGAAGAAATGAACATGCATTCATTTAACTTCTTTGAGCCTCAGTTGCCTCATCTACAAAAGGTGTCCACCCTGCACTGATTGCCTTCCAAGGACAATTGATAACATCTCTGCTGGGACCCACCTCTGGCAGGTCTGACATTCCCTGACTCCCTTTTCCCGCCATCAGACTTTCCACCCACTCTGGGGATAAAGGAGATCTCATCCCTCTTCCATTTTCCAATCTGCCTGCTTCTTGGTTCTCACCCTCCTCAAACCAGCTGCAAAAAGCAAAGATACTTTATCTCACAGGTTGTGTTCCAATAAATCACTTACTGCTGGTCGCTTTGCAACTTCGAGTGCATTTCTCCATAAAAGCACATGGATCACCGCTAAAACCCCGCCCCCGTCTTCTGGCTCAAGGCAACTCTAAGGGGAGGGTAGCTGGAGGGAGGCTCTGGCACCTGGGCAGTTCTCCTGGTAGCATCTAAGAGGGCTCTGCAGCAGGGAGTGTGGGTGGAGTTCTGGGGGGAGGGCAGGTGGGCAGAGGTTTTGTGAGTGGCTAGTTCCCATGGCAACCAAGAGGTGGCCTCCACAGCAGTGGGACTGAGTAGCCTTGGTTAGAAGCTGACAGTAAGCTTCGTGTTTATATAAACCTGGAATTTCGGGTGGCTGCAACCTGGAACAGAGTGCCTTTCAAGCTGGGATGCTTCATTACCAGTGTGCCCTGTGCAGCTCTGTGTCCATTTCATTGAAACAAACATTTATTGATCATCTGCCAAGCACTGTGGTGGATACTGGGAACCCTGGGAATAAGACACAGTCACTGATCCTTGTATGCCAGCCTGGAGGGTGAGATGAACATGGATGTACAACAAAAAGGGACAGTGCCATGTGACCCAGGCAGGGACGAGGTAGTCTGGAAGGCTATGGAAAAAAAGATTGGGTCTTAGCCATAGCCATTGCATGTATAGAAATGTGGTGTGAAACAGCAAAATGCTTTGACGAGGTCATGTGTTGTCTGTGTGTGGGGGGGGGGCGGTCGATGGTATGGGAGCTTTTGGTAGGCATCGGATCAGAAGCACCTAAGGACCTTGGGTCACATCCTGGAGGCATGTGGACCTGGAAGCCTTCTCAGAGATGACATTTGAGGTGGGTGAGTCCAATGGATCCATGAATATTTTCAAAACTTGTATCTAGTTTTAGCTTCCCTGAATTCACATAAACGGAAGAAAAATTGGGGGATATTTCTCTAATGTTTGGCATATTAACCCATCTCCACCCTCCAAATGATCACAATTGTGTTCTGGTTTGGAGACTAAAGCTGTAATCCTCTAAAGTTGGAAAACTTATTATTGCAGCATCAGCCCTGCAGGGGCATCTTTGCACATAGCGGGCATTCTTCTCCTTGGCTCTGTTTCCCCTGGCATCTGCCCTCTACACCTGAGGCCCACCTTATGGTCCGGGTGTCCACACTCCCAATAGATGGCCATCTGGCCTAGCTTTAACACTAAAAGTACCACATCCCATGAAACTTCTCAGTCCCAGCGTTCACCTCCAGGACAGAGAGGAAAGTCTGAGCCCAGACCTCAGGTTTATAGGATGTTGACTGGCAGGGAGGCTACAGAAAGAAGGTTGGCTTTGGAGCAAGGCCTGACTGACTGAACATTGATTTCTCTGCTCAATCTTTCTCTGTGTGATCCTGGAGAAGTTACTTCATTGTTTTGAATGTTAGTTTCCTCATCTATAGAATACTTATCTTAAGGAAATGGAAATAATTATTTTTAACACTGTCATGGAGGAGGTGCTCAGTAAGTGATGCCATTTTCTAGAGCGAAGGAATATCAAACGGTCACCATATAATGTGAAAAAGTGTATTGAGCTTTTATATTGAAGGCTGCGGACCCAAAGGAAGAGCATATAACCACCTCTGGGGGTCAGGGAGGTCCTATAGTTACTGCCAATTGCTGACAAGACTGGAGGTGGGGGCCCTCCAGCCTCTCACACATCCACTGTGGACTGTGATTAAAAATTAGAGAAAAAGGAAATGCAGTATAGTGAGAACATACTGAGTAGCATAAAAAAAAATTGGAGTGGTGAGGTAATAGACATGAAGTACAAGCAGTCTCTGAACTCTAGTCCATGTAGGGGAAAGAACCTGTGGGTGGAAGATTCTAAAGTCTGCAAGGGTTCCAGAGCAGAGAGTTGGTTAGGCTTGGTAGGAGAGTCCAGGCATTCCAGAATTCTCAGGAAATTCTGGAATAGTCTAGTATATTCTGGAATGGACTTCCTGTGGTTGAAGCTAGAGGGCAGGGAGAAGTGCACAGGATTCTGTTTGTGAGGAAGAGATGAGTTTGTTGACTTGTCTGATTGTGGGGTGCCCCAAAGAGGACCATAACAGCCTTGTAGTCACATCTGGAGAGTTCTGCCCCTTTAAAGAGAACAGGACTCCAGAGAGTGAAGCAAACTTCCTCTAAGAGTGTAGGCAAGTCTAAGTTGTACCATGATTTCTTTTACAGAAAGCCTGAACAATTTTAAATGTGGAAAACCAGTAGCTTCCTCTTATCCCTCTCCATGGTTGGATGTCTCCTCTGCAAGGTCATCTTCTGTCTGAAGCATGGAGAAGGCACTTTTTTTTCTTGTTCAGGAATCATAGCTCCTTGACACTTGAGAATGTCATTGACAACGACACGAAGCAAGATTAGTGATGTGTAGGTCTCCCACCTCTCAAGAATGCTTCATCTCTCAGGACCAGTGGCTCCAATAATGGTGATAGGAAAGATAACACTGGAAGGAACAGCTGGTCTGGTGCCTTTGCCTCCTCACATACTATCCAGAAGGGTGGAGAATTAATTATCAGCCAAATTTCCTCCCCCAGAGCTGTGTGAGGAGGCAGCTTATTAACAAGCGCAAGTCTGGATCTGCTATCCTGTGCGGACCAGAGCAAAGATTTTGCCCTTACTTCTCTGTTAAGCCACCTTTTTCCCCCCTCTGAGTTCACATCAGACAGGTAATGTGCTGAGGTCATAACAAGGTATGAGGGAGGCACATGTCACATGATGGTGTGAACACCCGATCATCTTGTTTATGAACTACAAAAGGATCTGTTAAGCCATCTTTCTAGCCTTCAGCTCTCTGAGGGACTAACATCATTACCAGGACCACGTGCGCCCCTTTAACTGTTGAGCCTACACCTGGGGGAGGGCACTGAGAGATGACAGTGACCCACGGGCTTTGAAAATGCCCGCTCCTTAAGGTATAGATGTCCTTGACAGCAGCATCTCGCCAGGGCTTTCTCTTACCAAAGTGGCCCTGGCAGCAGGTGGGAGGGGGCTTCTGCATGCTTGGCATATCTCTATGTGGATTTGGATTACTAAACAAATATAGTAAATTTCTAAGTAGGTCCCCCAGAATTCAGTCCCATAAAATGTGGCCTTGTGTTATAACGGGGTAGGTTGAATGACCGGGGGCAGGGGCCAGTCCCCTTCACTGTATATTCATCCGATCTCACGTTATTGTGAGTGCATTATCGTGGGGCTTCATTATGTATCAAATAGTAACATCATTTCCACCAAGTGCAAAGAGAGCAAACTTTACCTGCATTTTCAGATGTAGTTAGTGTGATAATGAGAGATTTGGAGGCAGATAGGTCATGGCTTGAGCTGGGGAGTAGATCTGGGAATAGCTCTGTCCCAATGCTCTGACCCCACGACCCCTTCCTGTCACCCCAACAAGGGGTCAATGTGTGGGACAGGGTTGGCTCTGGTGCACACCTGCTGAGCCCTCCAAGCTGGGCAAGGAGCCCTTCAGAACAGCTCCTGGGTGCCCCCTCCCGTGAGGACCTGCCAGTGAGCACGGTAGGGCTTCTGGATCTCATTAGGCCACAGCTGTCCCAGCCTGGACACCATGAGCAAAGTATGGGCCTGGTTTCCATCACTCGAGTGTTGATTTGGCCTGTAATCATCATCAGAGGGCACATTCCAGGTTCGTGGTTTAAGAAAAAGCATACTTTTGTCTGCAGTCATGGAGCTATTTCGTCCCAAGCCATTAATGCTTCTCCTGGCTCAGCACCACTCCCTCTGCTCTCTGAATTCGACCATACAGCTTTGATTTCAGAGGCAGGCCAGCATGATGCTTGGAAAGGCACACAGGCCCCTTCTCTGGATATTCCTAAGTGCTTAAAACTGCAAATGTGGCCAGATACATGTGTGCTGTGTTACTGTGCTAGGGATTCCTCGGGGAGGCTTTGGGCTCTGCATCTTTAGTGGAAACACCCAATAAACCACTGGCCTCAAGGCTCTGTTGTTTTAGAGTGGGGTTTAAATGCATTCTCCTCCAGGCTGCCAATGCACCTCCAAACCAGTGCTGCTTGAAGTCTCATACCTAATGTGGCTTCCTAAAGCCCCAGCCTGCTCCGACAGACCCAGCTGGTGTGCTCTCGCATGCAGGGGTCAGTTCTCAATGCATTAACTCACTATTTTTCTCCCTGCATCAGGATGACACCTGGAGCCACCTATCATCAGGGGCGGGGTAGGTGAGGGAGCTCTGCTCAGCCAGGCACCCATTCATGCATGTGACACTTTCAAAGCCAGCTGGCTAAGGCTCAGGGTGTATCCCGAAGACAAAGGGATAGAGTTTATCTCTGAGTGCAGTGAATCTACTTTCAACATTTCTTTCTTTCTTTTAAAAGAGACACACAGAAAGAAGCAGAGACACAGGCAGAGGGAGAAGTAGGCTCCCTGCGAGGAGCCAGATCTGGGACTTAATCCCAGAACCCCGGGATCATGACCTGAGCCAAAGGTAGAAGCTCAACCACTGAGCCATCCAGGCCCCCCTCTTTCTTTCTTTCTTTCTTTCTTTCTTTCTTTCTTTCTTTCTTTCTTTCTTTCTTTTTCTTTCTTTCTTCTTCCTTCCTTCCTTCCTTCCTTCCTTCCTTCCTTCCTTCCTTCCTTCCTTTTCTTTGTAGGCCCCACACCCAATGTGGAGCCTGAACTCATGACCTTGAGATGGAGAGTTGGATGCTCTACCAGGCAGAGCCAGCCAGGCACCCCAAACATTTCTTTAAGTTATAACTAGCCCAGGCAATAACTGCCAGCTCTCTGATAATCAAGGACTGATGGGATTTCTATTGGCCAAATAACCAGAAAATTAAGTCTTCTGTTCTAACTAGCTTCACATAAGAAAAAAAAATACATATTTTAGCTACAGGCAGATTCTATTGTTTGCTGAGTTTCCTTGGGGAGCTTGGCTGTTGGGCTTGGCTGACTCACAGTTAGAGGAGTAGTCTTCCAGGCTGAGCTCAGTGGCACACAGCAGATGACACAGGCACAAGCCAGTGCTGGCTGTAGGGGCCAGTGACAAGCAAGTCAGGGCTAGCTCCTGATGCTCAGGCATCTGGGGTCAATTAGGGATCAGTCAGTGGTGCCAGAGGATTTAAAACAATTGTAACCAGCAGGGCAGGGTGGTAGTATCAATAGTGGAATATAGCAGGTACAGATAAAATTGTACCATCCCTAAATAAAGTCAACATTTTACCCTGGTGAGGCCTTTTTCTCAACAAGTGAGATCGTCCTCAGCTAAGGTTCAATCACCTGTGAGAACAATGACCAATGACTTGATTGGTCATTGAGCTTTTGCCACTGATTTCAGATTCATAGTCATTAGGAGAAGAGTCTGACCACTTCTGATGAACAGTCAAATCCAACCTAATCTGATTTCACTGCTGCCTTACATTTTGAAGCTGTAGGTTCTCACGAATCTTTGACAAGAATTCGGGGTCTTTACACATCTCTGTCATTGCTGCCTGAAATAATGTTAACTTGATGGAAACGTTGAACTTTTAACTATAGAGATCAGGAACTTCAGAAGACCCATTGTGGAGGAGATGTGTGGAGAGAGAGCCCAGACCAACTCCAAGAGGCGGACAGATAAGTGAGGTCTCTTGGCTGGCAGGAATCAGAGGCACATAATCAGAAGCCAGACAGGATGACCTGGAAAGATAAGAGAACGTTCCCAGGCTGAACTTCACCACAAGCTGCTGTGAGATCCTAAAGTTTGTGCTTAGCCCGGGATGGTTCCTTACTATTGTTCTTGCTACGCAAGCCCTCCTGTGATGACACTACCTTTTGTCTCCTGACTCCAGCCACATGGACCACAAGGGGACTGTCATCCCTTTCTGTGACTTTGCCTCCCTGGCCTCAGTCCCCTTGATGGGAGGACATTGGAGACAGTCCATCCCTGAGATTTATCAGAATGGCAGCTGGTGGCAGAGAGGTGTTCCTTATTGGGAAGGGGGAGAAGAGCCTGGAAGTTGCTAGTGGTCGTCCCCACCTCCTGGAGAAAAAAGAATCCACTATCTGTTGATGAGAAAGTAGCTAACATGTCGAGAGGAGCTTGTAGCAAAAGTGGCTGGAAGGTTCTGTCTGAACTTGAGTCTCCGCTCCAGTAGTTCCCCAGGCTAGCGTGTCTCCACCATCATTTGCTTATCTGAATCAGTGTCTCTTCACTTCGCCCTAGTTGTGTTTGCTATTATACTTGCTAATAGTTTCTTAGCATTCTACCCTCGTGTTGTTATTATTATTTCTGGTGCACAATATTTGGCATGTTTTGGCAGCCAAGCTACCCATTCCATTCAGCAACTCCCAGCATGCAGGGATGGTGTGGGCAGCAGTCCTACTGTGTGAAGGCTTAGAAGCCAACAAAGACTTTGCTTCTTACCATCAGAATCTGGCACTGAAATCACATTTTTGGCTCCTGTTTTATAACTGAGTCAATACTCAGTTGCACTCAGTTATAAATAGTCAATACTCAGATATAAAATAGGAGCTAAAAAGCGTCATTTCAATTTGCACTTAGCAAAACATTTAATATATACCAGGAAAGGTCAAAGACAATGAGCAAATTTCAATCTGGGATGACTTTTTAACCTTCTGCAAATATTAGGGCTCATGGTCTTTGTGGAGGTAGGAAACCATTAGCTTCCGCCTCCAACGAGGAATAAGCAAGTAGGATCTATTTATTTATTTATTTATTTATTTATTTATTTATTTATTTATTATTTTTATTTATTTATTCATGAGAGACACAGAGAGAAGCAGAGACCTAGGCAGAGGGAGAAGCAGGCCCAACGTACGACTGCGACCTGAGCCGAAGGCAAATGCTCAACCACTGAACCACCCAGGCACCCTGAGCAAGTAGGATTTAGATGAGAAGCCAGATTTCGCCATTCTTCCCAAGCGATCCTACAAATCTCAATTCAGTTCAGCAAATAGCAATAGACCATGTACCACACTGGACTCATCGAGGTAAGTCCCAGCCTCATAGATCTATTAGTTGTTCTAAGATACTGATTTCATTCTATTACTCAAAGACCCTTGGGATGCCCGGGTGGCTCAGTGATTGAGTGTCTGCCTTTGGCTCAGGGCATGATCCTGCAGTTGCACGATCGAGTCCCACATCGGGTTCCCTGCATTGAGCCTGCTTCTCCCTCTACCTGTGTCTCTGCCTCTCTGTCTCTGTCTCTCTCTGTCTCTGTGTCTCTCATGAATAAATAAATAAAAAAGGTCTTTAAAAAAAAAGACCCTTTAGCAGGCTCCCCAGATACCCTCAGAATAAAGTGTTGACTGGGACTAGCTCACAAGGCCCTGCATGACTTTCTTTGCCTAGCCTGCTATCCTCACCTTCTGGGTTTCTGTGGCTGCTCTCCACACTCACCCATTGGCCTGCCTCTCCTGCCTCCAAATAAATAGCAATAAAATAATAATTCTGTGATAATGACAACTAACAAACATCCATGCACCTGGCACTGTTCTGGACCTTCTTCACCTGTTACCTAGCAGCACAGCCCACGAAGTAAGGATGACCACTATCTCCACTGTAACGATGTATGTATTAATTTCCCTATATGTCAGTAATAAATGACCACAAATCTAAAAGTCTAAAATTGAGGTGTCAATGAGGCTGCATTCCTTCTGGATGTTCTGGGAGAGAATCCTTACTTTGTCAGCTTCTGGAGGCTGCCCAAATTCTTTGGCTCCTGGCCACATGGCCCCAACCATTTGCTTCCCTTTTCTCACCTACGATAGACCCTGGCCGTTCTCTTTCT